CTAGCCAGACTAATAAAGAAAAAAAGAGAGAAAAATCAAATAGATGCAATAAAAAATGATAAAGGGGATATCACCACCAATCCCACAGAAATACAAACTACCATCAGAGAATACTATAAACACCTCTACGCAAATAAACCAGAAAATCTAAAAGAAATGGGTAAATTCCTGGACACTTACACCCTCCCAAGAGTAAACAAGGAAGAAGTTGAATCCCTGAATAGACTAGTAACAAGGTCTGAAATTGAGGCAGCAATTAACAGCCTACCAACCAAAAAAAAGTCTAGGACCAGACGGATTCATACCGAATTCTACCAGAGGTACAAAGATGAGCTGATACTATTCCTTCTGAAACTATTCCAAGCAATAGAAAAAGAGGGAGTCCTCTGTAACTCATTTTATGAGGCCAACATCATCCTGATACCAAAACCTGGCAGAGATACAACAAAAATGGAAAATTTCAGGCTAATATCCATGACGAACATTGATGCGAAAATCCTCAATAAAATACTGGCAAACCGAATTGAACAGCACGTTGAAAAGCTTATCCATCATGAGCAAGTGGGCTTCATCTCTGGGATGTAAGACTGGTTCAACATATGCAAATCAATAAACGTAATCCATCACATAAACGGAACCAAAGACAAAAACCACATGATTTTCTCAACAGAGGCAGAGAAGGCCTTTTACAAAATTCAACAGCTCTTCATGCTAACAACTCTCAATAAACTGGTATTGATGGACTGTATCTCAAAATAAAAGCTATTTATGACAAATCCACAACCAGTAGCATGCCAAATGGGCAAAAACTAGAAGCATTCTCTTTGAAAACTGGCACAAGACAAGAATGCCCTCTCTCACAACTCCTATTCAACAAAGTATTTGAAGTTCCGGCCAGGGCAATCAGGCAAGAAAAATAAAGTGTATTCAATCCGGAAAAGAGGAAGTCAAATTCTATTTGCAGGTGACATGATTGTATAATTAGAAGACCCCTTTGTCTCAGCCTAAAATCTTCTTAGGCTGATAAACAACCTCAGCAAAGTCTCAGGATACAAAATCAGTGTGCAGAAATCACAAGCATTCCTATACACCAGTAACAGCAAACGGCCAAATCATGAGTTAACTCCCATTCAAGATTGCTACAAAGAGCATAAAATACCTAGGAATACAACTGAAAAGGGATGTGAGGGACCTCTTCAAGGAGAACTACAAACTACTGGTCAAGGAATAAGAGAGGACACAAAAAGATGGAAAAACATTCCATGCTCATGGCTAGGAAGAATCAATATCATGAAAATGGCCATACTGCCCAATGTAATCTATAGATTCAATGCCATCCCTGTCAAGCTACCACTGACTTTCTTCACAGAATTGGAAACAAACACCTTAAATTTCATATGGAGCCAAAAAAGAGGCAACATAGCCCAGACAATCCTAAGGAGAAAAGAAAAGAAAAAAGCTGGAGGCATCACGCAACCTGACTTAAAACTATACTACAAGGCTACAGTAATCAACACAGCATGGTACTGGTACCAAAACGGAGATATAGACCAATGGAAAGGCACAGAGGCCTCAGAAATAATGCCATACATCTACAGCCATCTGATCTTTGACAAACCTGACAAAAACAAGCAAGGGGGAAAGAATTCCCCATTTAGTAAATGGTGTTGGGAAAACTGACTAGCCATATAAAGAAAGCTGAAACTGGACCCCTTCCTTACATATTACACAAAAATTAACCCCAGGTGGGTTAATGATTTAAACATGAGACCTAACACATAAAAACCCTAGAAGAAAATCTAGACAATACCATGCAGAACACAGGCATGAGCAAGGACTTTATCACTAAAACACCAAAAGCAAGACAACAAAGCCAAAATAGACAAATGGGATTTAATTAAACTAAAGAGCTTCTGCACAGCAAAAGAAACTATCATTAGAGTGAACCGGCAACCAACAGAATGGGAAAAATTTTTTGCAGTTTACACATCTGACAAAGGGCTAATATCCAGAATCTATAAAGAACTTAATTAAATTTACAAGAAAAAAACCACCCCATCAAAAAGTGGGCAAAGCATATGAACAGTTCTCAAAAGAAGACATTTATGCAACCAAGAAACATGAAAAGCAGCTCATCATCACTGGTCATTAGAGAAATACAAATCAAAACCACATTGAGATACCATCTCACGCCAGTTAGAATGGTGATTATTAAAAAATCAGGAGACAACAGATGCCGAAGAGGATGTGGAGAAATAGGAATGCTTTTACACTGTTTGCGGGAGTGTAAATTAGTTCAACCACTGTTGAAGACAATGTGGCGATTCCTCAAGGAGCTAGAACTAGAAATACCATTTGACCCAGCAATCCCATTACTCAGTGTATACACAAAGGATTATAAATCATTCTATTATACAGACACATGCACGTGTATGTTTACTGCAGCACTGTTCACAACAGGAAAGACTTGGAACCCACCCAAATATCCATCAGTGATAGACTGGATAGAGAAAATGTGGCACATATACACCATGGAATACTATGCAGCCATAAACAAGGCTAAGTGCATGTCCTTTGCAGGTACATGGATAAAGCTGGAAACCATCATTCTCAGCAAACTGACGCAAGAACAGAAAACCAAACACCGCATGTTCTCATAAGTGGGAGTTGAACAGTGAGAACACACAGACACAGAGAGGGGAACACCACACACTGGGGCCTGTCGGGGGGGTGGGGGTGGGGGGGTCAGGTACGGATAGCAGGGGGTGGAGGGCTATGGGAGGGATAGCATTAGGAGAAATACGTAATTTAAATTATGGAGTGATGGATGCAGCAAACCACGATAGCACATGTATATTTATGTAACAAACCTGCACATTCTTCACATGTACCTCAGAACTTAAAGTATAATAAAAAAGTGAAATCTGAACTAAATTCAAAGATGAAACATCATAGTAATCTCATACTGAATATAAACATCTATTTCAATGTTTACTCCAGACTGAACACAATGAAAGTGCTTGTGAAAATTACAAGTCTGCCACCTCTAATTCTTATATAATTAAGTTTATGTACACTTATGAAATAACCTGACATTTATTTTGTTGGTATGTTCTAATAAACACACATTCTCAAGACAGCAAAAGATAAACCCCAGTCCAGAGCATTCTGTCTGCTTGAAGCCAATTAAGACACTGCCTCTAGTGCCTTGAGATTCTGGGCTGCAGAAATGGTTGCTGGGGAACATATATGCCTTGACAGAGCCAGAAACCACTAACTACAGCATGTCTTCAAATAAGATCTACTGTGAACAGGGCTTCACCCCATTTCATTTGGGCTCCATTCCATGAAGATATAAGTTAGTAGAAATTACAAAGGAAAACACAAAACATCCCATACATAATTTATTGTACATAGCTTGGTGTTTTCTTTTGCTGAATCATACAAATTCAAATGGGGATTCCTGAATAAATCTTTTAATTTACCTTTGGCAGAAACAACAGATTCCAAAACAATTACTAGCATCTCATTTATTTGTTGCTTAAAAAAAATTCTGTAGCATATTTTTCAAAAACAATAGCCTTAAACAAATGTGCTTTAACAGCTAACTGGTAATGATCCGATTAATATAGCTTATTTAAGAGAACTATTAAAGGACAGACTATACATGTATTTTTAAAAAAACAATTTTTGGTCATATGAATGATTCATGTTCAGATTTCAAAAACAGGAAAGATCCTAAAGTGCATCATTTTATTTATAATCTCACTCCTTGAAATTATAGCAATCTGCAATGTAAACAGTAGAGCAAAGAATTCCAAACTATATTTTTATGTACATTTAAACCTGTAGGATTATGTATCTTCTTTGTGTGTGGATTAAAACCAGGGCACTTCCAGCACATAGCTCAAGCTTCCATATGATTAAGAGCAAACGTAAAGGCATTCTTTTTTTCCCCCATCCTTGACTTAACTTTCAGCTGACAGAGGAGAGCTGCTACCTCACTTCAGCCTGGAAAATGTTGCTGTAAATCCCACTGGACCAGCCAGTTTCTCACAACCCTTATTAAAAACAAACCTGGTCAGTATAGTTTTACATCCCCTTCCTTTTCCTTAAAACAAACTTGTGCCCTTCAAGAAGGCAACTTTCAAAACATACAGGAGGGTGTCTGTGCTGTGTTCATCCCGTAACACCTGTCTTCAAAGGCATAGCTCCTGAAGCACTTTCTCTGATCAGCCATGGTGGGCCAGCAGATCTCTGGGCTCCGCCTGGTGAAGCGCAAAGGTGGACCCAGAACCCACTGTCCTCAGCGCAGGTGCAGGAGTGAAAAAATAACAAATCATAAAGTGACGTCAAGCACACTGAA